GCACAGTGACGCCACGCGCAGATTCAAATTAAACCTCGCCGTCCCCGGGGGGCTGCGATATGTGAAACTGTCGCCACTTTCGAAGCCTGCTTGCGCGCCCAGCACAATGGGTACCCACCGCAAATTCAAATTAAACCTCGCCATCCCTGGGGGGCTGCGATCTGTGAAACTGTCGCCACTTTCGAGGCCTGCTGGGTGGCCCGGCGCAGTGGGTACCCACCGCAGATTCAAATTAGACCTCGCCATCCCTGGGGGGCTGCGATCTGTGAAATTGTCGCCACTTTCGAAGCCTGCTGGGGGGCCCAGCACAGTGGGTACCCACCGCAAACTCAAATTAGACCTCGCCGTTCCGGGGGGGCTGCGATCTGTGAAACTGTCGCCACTTCCGAAGCCTGCTGGGGGGCCCAGCATAGCGGGCACCCACCGCAGACTCAAATTAGACGCCGCGTTCGTCCTTGTTCTCCTCCTGCAGCCACCTTTCCTCTGCTGCTGCCGTGCTGATGGTTCGGCTTCCCGCGCATTTTTCTCCTGCTCTGCGTTCCCGACTCCCCATGTCCTCTTCGAGCCTGTAGCTTTGCCCCATCGTTCTTGCATGGTTCTCCTGCGCATCATGCCATGGGCGCGTGTCCCAAGTAGCTTACACATCAAGTTGGTTGTCCATGCAAGTTTCGGCCAACTCCTCGTTTCCATTCATACATATGGGTTGGGTACGTCACATGATAATTTGTCCCAACCCTCCTGCGTTGGGTTCTCGTTTTGAATAGAGCACTGCTCAAGCGTCTCCTTCCTTCCTTCCCGCCCCTCTCTTCCCCCTTGCCTTTGGCCTCGCTCGTCGCTGCGTGCCAGCTGGGGGGCTGCGATCTGAGAAACTGTCGCCACTTTCGAGGCCTGCTGGGGGGCCCAGCACAGTGGGTACACACGGCGGATTGAAATTTTACCTCGCCATCCCTGGGGGGCTGCGATCTGTGAAACTGTCGCCACTTTCGAGGCCTGCTGGGGGGGCCCAGCGCAGTGGGTACACACGGCGGATTGAAATTTGACCTCGCCATCCCTGGGGGCTGCGATCTGTGAAACTGTCGACACTTTCGAGGCCTGCTGGGGGGCCCAGCACAGTGGGTGCACACGGCGGATTGAAATTTGACCTCGCTATCCCTGGGGGGCTGCGATCTGTGAAACTGTCGCCGCTTTCGAGGCCTGCTGGGGGGGCCAGCACAGTGGGTACACAAGGCGGATTGAAATTTGACCTCGCCATCCCTGGGGGGCTGCGATCTGTGAAACTGTCGCCGCTTTCGTGGCCTGCTGGGGGGCCCAGCACAGTGGGTACACACGGCGGATTCAAATTTGACCTCGCCATCCCTGGGGGGCTGCGATCTGTGAAGCTGTCGCCACTTTCGAGGCCTGCTGGGGGGCCCAGCACAGTGGGTACCCACCGCAGATTCAAATTTGACCTCGCCGTCCCTGGGGGGCTGCGATCTGTGAAACTGTCGCCACTTTCGCGGCCTGCTGGGGGGCCCATCACAATGGGTACACACCGCGGACTCAAACTAGACCTTGCAATCCCTGGGGGCTGCGATCTGTGAAACTGTCGTTACTTGCGAGGCCTGCTGGGGGGCCCAGCACAGTGGGTACACACCGCGGACTCCAATTAAACTTCGCCGTCCCTGGGGGGCTGCGATCTGTGAAACTGTCGTTACTTTCGAGGCCTGCTGGGGAGCTCAACACAGTGGGTATCCACGGCGGACCGGAATTAAACCTCGCCGTCCCTGGGGGGCTGCGATCTGTGAAACTGTCGCCACTTTCGAAGCCTGCTAGGGGGCCCATCACAGTGGGTACGCACCGCGGACTGAAATTAAACATCGCCATCCCTGGGGGGCTGCGATCTGTGAAACTGTCGTTACTTTCGGGGCCTTTCGCGGCCTGCTGGGGGGCCCAGCGCAGTGGGCACCCACGGCGGACCCACATGAAACCTCGCCATCCCTGGGGGGCTGCGATCTGTGAAACTGTCGCCGCTTTCGAGGCCTGCTTGGGGGCCCAGCACAGCGGGCACTCACCGCGGACTCAAATGGAACCTCGCCATCCCTGGGGGGCTGCGATCTTTGGAACTGTCGCCACTTTCGCGGCCTGCTGGGGGGCCCAGCACAGTGACGCCACACGCATATTCAAATTAGACCTCGCCATCCCTGGGGGGGCTGCGATCTGTGAAACTGTCGCAACTTTCGAGGCCTGCTTGCGGGGCCCAGCACAGTGACGCCCCCCAAGGAGCTTACGCATCAAGTTGATTGCCCACACAAGTTTCGGCCAACTCCTCGTTTCCATTGATACAAATGGGTTGGGTACGTCACAGGATAATTTTTCCCAACCCTCCTGCGTTGGGTTCTCGTTTTGAATAGAGCGCTGCTCAAGCGTCTCCTACCTTCCTTCCCGCCCCTCTCTTCCCCCTTGCCTTTTGCCTCGCTCGTCGCTGCGTGCCAGCTGGGGGGCTGCGATCTGAGAAACTGTCGCCGCTTTCGAGGCCTGCTGGGGGGCACAGTGACGCCACACGCAGATTCAAATTAGACCTCGCCATCCCTGGGGGGCTGCGATCTGCGAAACGGTCGCCAATTTCGAGGCCTGCTTGCGGGGCCCAGCACAGTGAAGCCTCCCAAGTTGCTTGCACATCAAGTTGATTGCCCACGCAAGTGTCGGCCAACTCATCGTTTCCATTGATACAAATGGGTTGGGTACGTCACAAGGTAATTTACAACGCCATTTGCGCGTCGTACGAATTGGCGCGCCGTTGTCTGGCGGTGGCCCGCCGCCCGCCGCGCGGCGCTCGGCGCGAGCCATCTTCTTATGCAGCCAGGCAGGCGCTTGTTGATAGCTATGCTTCCACCCCGCCCAGGCGGGAGGCGCGCGTGGTGGTTGCTCTGGTACTGCGCGCTTATGTGCCGGCTGTGGCATGCTGAACTGGGCCTGCAGAGTCGGCGGCTGTGGCGCGCTGAGCTGGGCCTGATGCGCTGTCGCGGCCGCCGCCGCAACATTCTGCGCCGCCGCGTGCGGCGCGGCTTGTGCAGCTATCCTTGCAGCGCCCGCCGCCTGATTCACTTCGTTACTCGATCCTGCAACCGCAGCCGTAAGCTTGATTAGCGATCTGCTCCTGCTGGTAGATGGCCTGTTTCGCCTGGTGAGAGGAGATGGCGCTGCCGGGGTCGATGCTGGTCTGCGGCCTGCCGCCGCCGCCGAGCGCGGGCCTTGGAGATCCAGTGGCTGGCGAGCCCGTGCCAACATCAGCATCCTGCTCCTCTGGAGCCTTGTCGTGCCTCGCGGGCTGATCGCGCCACATGTCAACATCATTGTTCTGGTAATCAGCGGGGTGCTGCTGATGCCGCTTGGGATGACATGACCCCAAGTGGCAGCCTCTTGTTCCTCTGAGCCTGGCACGTCGTAGTACTCCGTGGGCTGATGCTGATCCCGCTCCACGTCAGCATCCCGGGTGTCAGCCTCCTGTGGCGCATTGTAGTCTTCGGGCTGCTACCACGTGATTGTAGACGCCATGCACACGTTGATCAGTTCTACAGCGGAAATGTGAGGCGCAAGGGCACGGGGTGGCCCTGTCGCCAGAATTTGCATCCGAACGTCATCCCTGAACGGCAGCTGGAAGTATGTAGCCAGTTCAAACCAGTCTCTGACGCGGTGCATGTGGTTATTCATGACCTTGCGAACCAGCCAGCGTGGCCAGTGAGTGTCCTCGTTCTTGCAGAACTGGAGGACTGCGCCAGGTGAGCGTCCATCACTGCTGAAAGACGCGATCGACTTGTATGCGTTCTCGCCAATCTGGTCCATGAGCGCTGACCAAAGGGCCTCTGGATCGTTGTCAATCATGTGGGTGACGCATGCCCGCTTTGCATGAACTCCTTTGCCAAACCAGCCGCTCTTCTTTGAAGTGGTCGAAATCTGGCGCTCCTCTAGGCCAAGGTGCATGATGCCGCGCTGCTTGAGGAAACGCACGGCGTAGAGTTCGATCGTCATGTCTCTGCGAGTAGAAGCCCACTTGCCTGAGTCAGTTCTGGAAATGACGCAAACAGCGTCTGATCCATACTGGGCAATGAACAACACGAGGAATGAGTAGGCGCTGTCCGACATTGAATACCAGCATGTATCCCCTCGGGGCTGACAAGGCGAATCATTGTGTCAACACAAGGTGAAACTAACATCGTTATTACACCCTTTTGTGGCACGAGGTATGCATTCCAACCCGGCGCCGTCGGCATTCTGCACACCCTTGGCGCTCAGCACGTCGCCCACATCGATGCCGAGCTTCGGCACCTCCATAAAATGTGAACCGCTGTGGTCACAGTCCATGGGGCGCGCCAAGAGTGCGCCGAATCAGCGCTGATAAAGCCAAGCTGTGGCACTAGAGTGCGGAGGATGATGATGAAGGGGGGACGGTGCGCTGTCTTGGATCGTTGTGGGCCATTCTGGTGAGACGGTCGTGCGCCGTCCTGGATCCTCTTGGGCTGTCTCGGCACATCTCGGGCCGTCTTGGGAGTCATTCCCGGGGCTGTTGGCGCCTCGCAAGGGCTTCTGCGGGGGAGTAGCGGGCGCGGGATGGAGGGCGGGGTCTGGGGTGAGTGGAACCACTGCCACTTCGGCTCAGAACGGCTTGATCTCCCCTCTCTCGAGATCATCAACGTACCGACGCGGGGCCACCTGGCCTCTACTACCAATTCGAAGGAGGGCAATGACGAGCCACGCGTGCATCCTCTTCGACCTCCCGACCCAGCGTGAACAATGCAGCTTTCGCAGGTCGTGTCGAAGAATCGTTTGGAGGACTTCCCCCTGGGTAGTTTTTCATCCTGGGTCCGTTTTTGACGGCCCCAGGTCCCGAATACGGCCTCCGGAGGCAAAGCATTACGAAAAGCCGAAGGCGACGAGAACACGCAAGTCGTCGAGTAAAGCTGCATTGCTTTTCCAGGGCAGTGCAACGGCGCCGATCTGGGAGGCAGGAGGGGGGCAGGCTCCAGCTCGAAGAGAGAGATGCATCCGCCGTAGCTCGCGTCGAGCTCGGACCAATACTCCATGATCTGATCCTGCGGTCGGCGGCCCCAGAGCTCCGACATCGTGGTCTTTGCTGCTCAGTCCTGGCGCTTGCCTTCCATTCTGGCCCCTGGGACCTGGGACATCCAGAAACGACCCAAGACGGCACAACGCGGAAAAGGTCGAGAATTCTGCGGGGTCCTGGAGACCTCGGAAGTTCATGGAAGCCTCCCGTAAACTTCTGGGTGTCGACAAGAGGCCAGAATGCTTCCGAAGCCTCGGTCCTCCTCTCTCCTTACCCCTCCCTCCTTCCTCTGTTTTTCCCTTTCCTTCGGGGAAAGCATATACCCACACCATTACTGCACGGACCTCTCAATGGGTGCGTTCTGACCAAGGTTCCGATGCGAATCTAACCGTGGCGGCGAGAGTAGGGTATCGGTATCAGTATCTGTTCCTCTTCTGACTCCTGCTACCACCTTCCCAAACATCCGACGATTCGACTCTCTCGAAGCGCCTGCCCGGGACTCTGGAGCTCTCCACTCCTTCCCGGGGCTGGCTTTTCATCCACAACCGTTCTTTAACTGTCCTACGGCCTGGACGCGTCCCCACTTGGATCGGCGCGGGGGTTGCTAAGGGTATAGGGGGGGTTACCAGTGGATACCCAGGTGGTTATATCTGTCCTGACCTGGCTTACAAGTGAGCTGCACGTGCCCTGAGTGGCTTGTGTGGGGGGTTAGATAATTCCACGTAGTGGGCAGAGCCCACTTCGCCAGGATCGTTAGCCCCCCAATGCCAAGTCGGGCACTTGTAACCCACTGAGTTGCTAGGCAAGGCCAGATCTAACCCACCTTGGCATCTACTGGTAACCCCAGCCCCTTCACACACCCCGCACCGATCCAAACAGAGGCGGAACAACAACGAAACACATCTGGCGCCATTTTTTGAGTCGCTAAGGCCTGAGCCCTCTGGTATCTTGAAGCCTCTGGAGGCCCAAGTAAGCTCCCAAACTCTTCACGAGCGCCAAAGAGTGTGCATGTCCTACTGGGACAACTGGACGACTGAGATGGCTGGGGGCCATTGCATGTCGGCTGGAAACAGCTAGGAACATGAAGTAGGACAACGTTCGAGGCATATCGGGTTTCAGGCCACCCTTGGAGAGGAACGGGACGCAGAACGCCATCGACCCCTGAAGTAGGAAGGTCCAACACACGGATCAGGATCTGATATTCCAATCAAAACAACTCTCAGCGACCAACGACTGCCGTACGACCCGAGCAAACATGGGCTAACGTGCTTTCAACACTGCCTTGGCCCTCGGGGACTCAGCAACCCCCCGATGAAGCCCCGCGCGCTGTGCGCGCTGTGCCCAGATGCTGCGGACCGCCCTGCTTGCGTGACCCGCGCGTGCGCTGCAAAACCCAACCGCTTCCGCATCTAGGAGCAGGGCGGGTCGAGGCAGCAGCAGCTCGAAATCGGTCCCTGGAGCCCTCCCGGATCCCCACATTTCTGAGCTGCGTCAAGCCGTGATGACGAGGGCCCAACTCCGCGCGTCGCGCAGCGCGAGGCGCGGCTATCTCCGCGCTCTCGCGCGTCCCCCCTGGGGAACGGATCCTCTCCGGCCCAGAACGCGAAGGGCGGCCATCATCACGCCCACCTGGTTGACCCAAGAGAGCCTGCGTCCCTCAAAGCCATACCAGAATCGGCCCCCAGACTCTACCATGGCCCTCCACAGCCAGCTTTTGGAAACGCCCAGGCACCTGCAGAAACGCTCGTAATCCTGAAGAGATCTCCGAAACGCCATTGACCTGCAGACAACACCCGAAGACCGTCGTCTTCGCCGCCGCCGCCTCGCTTCGCGCGCGAGCCGAGAAGCGCCGGCGAGCACTTCCAGAAGCGCCCAGAAACCTCCCGAAACGAAGACTGCCGTCGCCGCGGCCGCCGCTGACCGCCGCCGCGCGGCGGCCAGCCGCACGCGCGCGGCGCGGCGAGCCCAGCGCTGGCAGCCGACGACAACGGTGCCGACGACAGCATCCAGGGGGCCAAAAAGGGTACCCTGTATCGCTCAATAATCGCCCCCCCTTGGAGTGCCCGGGGGGGGTTGGCCGCGGCGCGTCCGCGGGGTACCAAAGGGGGGTCTGGGGTTCGATCCCTTCCCCGCTGGGGCGCGACGGTGGTGCCGGAGGGGGGTTGGCCGCGCCGCGTTTTCACACTTGTCACCCCCGGGTTGATTAAGAAGAAGTTCGGAGTACCGATCCCGCTGCCCCCCGGACTTCTCCTGGGTTGCGATCTGACCAGAATTTGGAGGCGAATCTAGCCGTGGCGACGAGGACCTCCCAGGAGGCTCAAAAGGACGAAAGCGATGGAAAGGATCGCGGTATCGGTCGCCGCCGCTGACCGTTTCGCCGCTCCCGAAGCTCCGATGACTTGATGTTGTCCGTCCCTGGAAATCTCGACCCCCCCGGGGGACCGGGGGACCCGCTTTCCATCCCGACTGGGCCCAGTGAGGGCCCCCTCAGGAAGCAAACAAGAAAAACCTTCGTCTCGGAGGTCTGGGCCGCCGCCGCCGCCGACCGAGCTGAGGGGCAACGACAGGGGGCAACATCGAGCTGGAATTGACGATACATCGCCGTTCGGGGGCCTGATAGCCCACCCCGCCCAGGAACGTCCAGATTCGCTGCCGGGGGCCCATCGCCGATCTCTCGGCGATGTATCCCGGTTACAATTCCATGCTCCCCCCCGAGCCTATCCCCCCTATCGTTGCCCCTGACGAGCGCCGCGCAGGCGCCGCGTCCTGGCACTTCAACGTCTTGCAAGCCTCCCGCAGTCGCCCGAACGCCAGCAACCGTCCGCCGGCGCCAAGCGCGCGCCGCCAGCCGCAGACCTCCCCGTGCCGGCAGCCGCCGCCGCGGGCGCCGCCGCCGCCTCTCCGCCGCCGCGGCGGCCCGTCGGATTCAGGATCTTGTCGTCGTCGTCGTCGTCGGTTCGTCGTCGTCCGTCGCCGTCATCGTCGGATCGTCGCCGTCGTCGACAGGCGGCGGTGGCGGCGTCGACGGGCGACGGCAATGGGTCCCGAAAAGCCCGTTGGAAGCTAAGGAGTTCCGATCGAGTTCTGAAGGGCTTCGGGGAAAACTGTATACACTCCTACAGATGTCCTAAGGAGCCCTGAAAGCCCGGCGGCCAGGACGAGGGCGACGACGACGGGCGGCGGCCAGGATGACGGCGACGGCGGCCCGCCCATGGGCCCACCGCGGAGCCGAAGCGGGCGGACAGGCGCTGGCGCAGGAAGCGCCTGACTGCGCGCGCGCGCTCCGCCGCCGCCAGCCTTCGGCCTTCGGCCTTCGGCTGTGGCGGTCGCCGCCGTCGCGCTTCGGAAGCTTCCAGCGGTTTTACCAATTGCTGGTGGCCCCGAGAGGCTCAGAACTCCGAATCATTTTTGGTTGGTTGTCGTTATTGATATTTTGGGCGGCCATTATTCTGACTCATGTTTATTGCTATTCTAACTGAATTTTCCGCAACGTGCCCCCCAAAAAAATCTGGACCCCTTCCCGGGACCGGCTTTCACCCTGAACAATTTTTTGACGGCCCCAGTGCCCAGCCCCGAAAGGCGACACTGCAGAAGCCCTCCGTCGCTATCTTTTTTGCAACGGGGGGAGGTGGGGGAGGTGTCCAGGGGGCAGTCGTGGGGGTCCCAAGACCGTGCGGTCACCCGGGATCCCCACCGACTCATCACACGGTGCGGTCACCGCACCGTTGGAGGGTCCCCGCGCCGTCGGCGTCGTCCTCCTGCAGCCCGTGCCCAGGGAGCCACAGGCGAGTGCACTCCTCGCACCCTGCGCGCGCGAGCGCCGTTGCCGCCCTCGAGGAAGAGGGCAGAACACGTGGGACGTTCACCATGCAGGCCTGTGCGTTCCACCTCGAGGAAGATGGTTGAGCCTGTTGGCTATTCCAAAGAGTGCTCTTTCTCGAGGCAGGAGCAGCCACCCCGACCCCCATAACCTGCGCTTGCGACAAGTAGTCCTAGACGTTTGCCAAAAGCAGCCCTGCCCTTTTCGACCCTTTCCTCAGGTGCACTCAGCACTGAAGGGCTTCACTCTTCGCCTTGTGAGGGGTGCTCATTATGAGGGTGGGCTTCGCTCTTCGCCTTGCAAGGGGTGCTTATCATGAGGGTGATTCTTCTGCCCTCCACGTTTGAGCCCCAGGAGGGCCCCTGGCCCATCGCGCGCAACGCGCGCGCGCCGTCGCCACCTCGAGGAAGAGGACAGACTGTCTGAAACGTGTCTCAACCATTTTGAGCCCCTGGAGGCCCCCTGGCCGCCCGCGCGCGCTGCGCGAGCGCGAGCGCGCCCGCACTCGCGCGGCCGGCGGGGCGGAAGGGGGCGACGGAGTGCCTCTGGGTCACCCAGCTTGGCGCGTCACGCCTCCCAAATGCGCGCTCCTCTTCGCGCTCAAGCGTGGCGTCCCGTGGAGAGTCGAGGATTCCTCAAAACGTCCACCGTGGGTGGTGTAATGCCAGCGCGCGTTGATGGCAACGTGCGTGAATGCCATGACGCGGACGGTGCAATGAGGGCCGAACACAGGCGGCACGCTGTCGGCGGAGCTGAGCGGGGCAGGGGCACGCTTAGGGGAACACACAATGACATAAACATAACAACTCGGAGGTCCGCGCGGAATCCGTCTCCTAAGATCTAAGATCAATCAACATCGGGTCGGGGAGTCGGACCGGATCGTAGTGCGCGTCGGGTCGGGCCGCATCGGCGCGGAGCCGAGATCGGATCGGCCGCGCCATGACCCACGACTGCGCTGTGCAAGCATCGGGCTACACTGGATCGCCAAGACATCGAACCAGGATCGGGTCGAGCCGGGTAAGCTCTTCGGCATCGAATCGGATCGATTGAATCGAAATAGGCGCTGGCTTCCCCTCCCCGCTGCGCTGTCTTCCCTTTCACAGAAAACACAACAACATACACTTCCGGAGGTCCGCGCGGACATCTAGAACCGGCGCTGGACCCCCCCCTGCCTCGCGCGCTCAGCGCGCCAGGTACGGCGCCATGGGCGCCGCCAGGGGGAGTCCAGCGCCGACCCAAGAAATCAACACGGACCTCCGCAAGTTCATGTTTACAGTCATCGTGCTAAACCAAAAGAGACAGCGCTGAACAAGGATCGAAGGGGCTTTTCCGGCCGCGGAGAACCTCGGCTTCGAACATCCCCGACCCAAATCTGAGGAACGGCCCGAACCATCATATTCGCTCCTGATCCCGAAGCGGTCCGTATTTCAGCTGGGAGGCGGCCAGGGGGTCTGAGTTGGATAAGCCAAACGAAAATCAGTCAAACGGGGGGGGATGAAGGCAGGGTCGCTCGAAATCGGTCCCCAGACCCTCCCAGGGTCGAAACTGATTAGTTGTTCGAGCAGCGTCCAGCCGTAGACACCTTTCTGCTAGCCCGAGCCAGCACTGAGTCACCTCAGCCCCCCCAACTTGCTCCAGACTTCAACGTCTCGACCGTCTGCCGCTTGGCTCTCTCCGATTGTGCCAGCCGCCCACAGGCTGTGGCGCGTCTGCGTGGCTGCCAGCGTCGCGCGCGCCATGTAGGCCACGGAGTCCTCCATGCCCCTGGCGCGCGCGCCGAAGGCCGCAAGCAAAGGCGCTGGCAACCACGGCCTCCCCCATCCGCCTCGGCCTGGCTGGCGGCCCGCGTGCTGCTCGAACTGCCGGGGCAACCACTGGACGGACACAGGAAAGGGGGGTCCCTCTCGGGCCTTTGGGCCTGCCCGAAGGGCTCCCTGCCGCGGTGGCCGCCGCGGCCGCCGTCGCCGTCGCCGTCGCCGTCGCCGTCGCCGTCGCCGTCGCCGTCGCCGCCGAGGCCGCCGTCGCCGTCGCCGTCGCCGTCGCCGTCGCCGCCGCCGCCGCCGCCGCCGTCGCCGTCGCCGCCGAGGCCGCCGTCGCCGTCGCCGTCGCCGTCGCCGTCGCCGCCGCCGCCGCCGCCGCCGCCGCCGCCGCCGCCGTCGCCGTCGTCGTCGTCGTCGTCGTCGTCGTCGTCGTCGTCGTCGTCGTCGTCGTCGTCGTCGTCGTCGTCGTCGTCCGCGCCGCGCGCCTGCAGCTGGAGCCGTATAGCTGGTGCACCTGGGCGACCGTTGCTCCAAGTGCGGGGCGGCGACCTCTGGCGGCGGGCCACGGCGCAGCCGTCGGTGTCCGCCGCCGCTGTCGTCGCCGCCGCCGCTGCCGATGTCCGCGGGTGTCGTCGCCGGCGGTTTCGTCCGCCAGCGTCGCAGGTGGCCGCCGTCGCTGCGTCCTTCGGCCGCCGCCGTCGCACGCCGTCGCCCACTGGGGGCACGGGCGCCGCGGTGCTGGCGGCGAATCCGAGCGGCTCATAAGGCCAGAGGTTTCTCGGCCCCCACGCCGCCCTCGGGCGTTCCGCCCTCCGGGGCCGTGCAGGTCCCGGTGAGGCGTAGGACCCCTGCAAAAATTGACCCCGCGACAAAAATGACAACATCGCACAGAATCACCACTGGAGCCCCGTACCCCATCTTTCGGCGTCACTTTTCGAGCCCGATCCTCCTCCTCCTCCTCCTCCTCCTCGTCCTCGTCCTCGTCCTCGTCCTCGTCCTCGTCCTCGTCCTCGTCCTCGTCCTCCTCCTCCTCCTCCTCCTCCTCCTCCTCCTCCTCCTCCTCCTCCTCCTCCTCCTCCTTCCCCCTCCTCCTCCTCCTCCTCCTCCCCTCCTCCTCCTCCTCCTGCTGCTGCTGCTGCTCCTCATCCGCGATAACAGAGTCATGCGATTGTCATCGCCGTTCCGACAATAGGGGTTCGGGCGAGGCCAGGAGTGGTGCATCGCGGCGCGGTCCCACGTTGGGCCCCCGGGCCCGCGCAGCCGGTCGATCAGGGAGCGGAGGAGCGAGGGATGAGCGATGGCGATGAGCAGAGAGGAGGAGAAGGAGGAGGAGAAAACGGAGGAGGAGAAGGAGGAGGAGGCGGATGAGGAGGACGAGAAAGGAAGGAGGGATACGGGAAAAGGGAGGGTGGACAAAGGGGGGAGGAGGAAGGGGGGGAGGAGAGAGGGGGGAAGAGGGAGGAGGGAGGGGGAGGGAGGAGGGAAGAAGGAAGAGGGGGGAGGGGGGGCGGAGAGGGGAGGAGGAGGGAGGAAGGGGGGGGGGGGGGGGAAGGAGGGGGGGGGAAGGAGGGGAAGGAGGGGGGAGGGAGGAAGGAGGGATGAGGGAGGAGGAAGAAGGAGGAGGAGGAGGAGGGGGGGGGAGGGGGAGGAGGGGGATGGAGAGGAGGAGGGGGAGAGGAAGAAGAGGAGGAGGTGGAGGAGGGGGAGTGAACGTCCACTTGCGGACGTCTACCACTTCACGGCCGACGCGGCCCCGCGCCGCCCGCGAGGCAAAGAGGAAGCCTCGAGGCGCGTCGCGCGGCGGCGATGGCTGCCTTGCTCATGTTACAGGCGTTGTAGGACGGGTGAACGGGGGCCCTGGCCTCGTTGATGGAAGCCGGGCCGATGTTCACGGCGTAGGTCACGGCCAGGCGGGCGATGGCGCGCGGAATGGCATCGTCATCGATCTGCTCTCCGTTGAGGCCCAGGCGCGTGGTGGCGTCCGGCGAGGCTTGTCCGCGAGGAAGGCAGAGATGGCCCCGCGTCCTCGGGCAGGCGATGTAGCGCGAGATGTCGCCAATGTTCTTCTTGCACTCGATGGTCGGGCAACCGAAGGGGCGCGCGTGCATGAAAGGGGGTGGCGCGCGCGCGGTAGCTCGTAGTCCAAGCGCCCGCCAGCGTCTTGAGGACAGGCCAGAACTGTGACGGAGGGGCGCGCGCGGGATGGCGACGATGCACGGGCCAGCCAGCAGCGCGCGAAGGAGGCCATTCTTCGATGTCCAGCATGTCGGCGTTCTGGTTGTCGTTGCCGCCCTGGGCGGTGCCTTCAAGAAGCTGGCGGTCTTCGTCGTAGTTCATGGGTGGTGAGCCAGCGGCGGCGGGCGCGATGCCCAGGGGCTTCTTCGTCTCGTTCGCGTTGTGTCGCCGCTGTCGGGTGGCTGGGCTGGCGGGGCGGGCAGCGGCGGCTGCGGGCGCAGGGCGCGCTGCGCCAGCGGCGCTCGCTGATCGAATGCGATTGCGTGACGGCGGCCGCCGTCGTGCCGGGGGCTGACGGCACTGTCGAACATGTCGTCGAATTGCGGGCGGCGGAGGCAGATGGTGAGGTGGGGGGCGCGCCGCTCCATCCAGTCGCGGTAGTCGTCGTAGCTGCGGGTTAAATAAACGCTCGGGGTCCATCGGGCGGCCCGCGCCCCCGCGCGCTCGTTCACGAAGGCGAGGGACTGCTCGGCGGCGGGCGTCTGCGAGGGCGCGGTAGTCGTCGGCGTGGGTCGCGCGGCGTGGAGGGCTTCGCCGAAAGAGCGAGCAGACGGGGGCGCACCGGTGAGGGGGGTCCAGACCTTCAAGCGCTTGATGATGGTCTTGTCGGAGTCGAAGTTGTTGGCGTGTAGAGGGCGGCCTGGAGCTCGTGCAAGTAAGCGGGCCGCGGCGACTCGCGTGCGGTCTGTTTCCCTTTTCCTTGGGCATTGCCACGACCATCTCTTTGCATCGCGTCATGGTGGGGGGGGGGGGGGGGCGCGTCGAGTTCGGGCCGACGTGCATGGTCAATGAGAGCTTGGCGCTCAGCGGCTGCCGCGCGACGATGGGCGGCTGCCGGGGGAAGAGTAGCGCGCCGCGGAGTGCCCAGCGCGCGCTTCAAAGCCTTGTGGGTGGAGCCCTTGCAGGCCGGGAAGAGCTGGCCCGTGGCGATCTGCTTGAAGCGCTGCGCGATGGAAAGCACGTCTTCCCAACGGTGACGGTCAGCGCACCAATGTCCTTGAACGACTTGGTAGACAGGAAGACGACCCTCTGCGACTGCTCGGCGTTCGCGAAGCGGGCGCGTCCACGAGGTCAGAGTGGAAGGAGCAGCGCGCCACGTGGTAGCCGAAAGCAGAGTTTCCAGACCCTGCGGCGTTTCCACGCCCGTCCAGCGCTTGAAGGAGACGATGTTAAACTTCGTGAAGCTGCAGGGGGCTCCTTGCAGTAGCTAGTGTAGCGCGTGCACCTCCATGGCGAGGGCGCACGGTAATGAAGGGTAGAGCTGTCCAGTGTAGGAGAGGCAGGTGACGGCGGCGACGTCGTAGAGCATGATGCAATGTTGTAAAGGAGAGCGTGCTTCTCCGAGCATGCGCCCAGTCCCACCACATGCCTGCAGGCGGTTTCTATGGCAGGGAGAGCGCGGTATCAGGGCCGGCGAACGCACCCAGATAGCGCGCGCGGCTGGCGATCCTGAAGTCCTTCCATAGTGGGTAGATGTCGGCGAGCGTAGCTTGGATGGACGCGATCAGCGAGCGAGTGGGGGGCGCCTGGGTCGGGGCGATGATGCATTTCTTGGCCTGCAACCGCAGTCCAGCAAAGAGTTCTGCAGCACAGAGATGGGGAAAGAGGTGCTCGATGTCGCGGAGGGCGGCGAGGGCGAGCCTAGGTCGTCGGCGCAGGCGCTGACGAGGCCACGCCCAATGCGAGATGGTTCGTGCTTAATGCCGCGAATGATGGGGTCGAAGGTGAGCGCCCACAGCGCGCCGCTCAGAGGGCACCCCTGGGCGACTCCTGACTCGGCGAGCAGGAAGGGTCGGCGGGAACCACCAAGCTCGAGAAAGACGAGCGGCATGTGGTAGCACGCCTGCAGCAGCGCGAGGAGCGGTCCGCGTCGCCCCCAGCGGCGTAACACAGCCTAAAGCCACTCATGCAGAAAGCTGGGGGGAGCGGCGGCGATGTCCATGCTGGCGAAGCAGGGTTGCAGCTGCTCGGCGTGCTCGCCAATGCTGACCTGGCGGGCGATCGTGTCGACCAGGACAATGTTGTTCAGGCGCTATCTGCTGTTGGCGAAGCCCTGCCGCTCGTCGGCGGTCATGGCAGTTGCGCGGCGAAGCTTGCGATTGGTCGTTGACGCGATCAGGTTGACCTCGCTGTTTTTTCGTGGCGTAGGGGCGGTGGCAGTCGGGGGCCCGCGTGCACTCGAAGTTGTCGAGGGGCTCGTCGCCCTTCGGGAGCATGGCCAGCACGGCGTTGTTCAGGTCGCAAGGGGTCGCGCGGCCGAGCGCCATGTGCCGCAACAGGCCTGCAAGCGCGCCCAAGCTGCCATGCGAGAGAAGCCGTGCACGGCGCAGGGGGCCGTCGGGTCCAGGCGCGGAGTCGCGCGCCAGACGTGCGGCGGCGTGCAGGTCCTCGCTGCTGGGGAGCTGGATGTCGAGGTGCGGGCGTTGCGGAAAGACGCCGTCGATGTAAAATTCCATTGCTTGTGCGTCGACGTCCTTCGCGGAGAAGACCTTGCGCCCGTGCGATTGGATGGCCGAGCGCATCGCCGTGGGGTCGGTGACGGTATGGTAGGCGGCACCAGAGGATGCTCGGATGCCAGCGAGGGCGAGGCGCTTTGCGAAGGGCTTCCAGGGATTTCCACGTTGCGCTTCGCGACGCGATCGCTGTTTGATGCTCTTGGAAAGCAGCTCGGGATCGCGCAGCGGCCCCCCGTCGACGGAGATCGGCGACGGCGAGGCGGGCCGCGTCAACTTCACTGGCGAAGGCGCCCACGTCGGCGATGGTGATCTGGTCGTTGGCGAAGGACAGGTATGAGGTGTCAGCAGTGGTGTCGTTGGCGAGAAGAGAAGCAAAGTGCCGATCCTGGGTATCAGGCGGCGCGGGCGATGCTGCGCACAGTCATGGCGCGAGCTTCGCGGTTGATAGATGGATCGTCGTCGCGAACTTCGGGCGGGTGGATGGTGACCAGAGCATCGCGAGCCTTCTGCGCCACTGAGATCATGATCTGCTTCATTGCGCGCCACGTCGAAACAGGGTCAAACGATCGAGGCCAACCACGTTCGCAAAGCACTCGTAGAAGAACTTGTAGTGCTTGGACTTGAATATGAAGGCAAGAATGCCTCGCTCCGCCGCGGGGCGCTGGGCGCGGGGACGGAGCCGAAGATGAAACGCTTTGCGGTCGCTAGCGGGCTCGCCAGCGCGTTCGAGAGGGCGGCCGTCCACGGCGAGGTGCGCCTCGAGGTGGGGCTCGTGGAAGGCAGGAGGCGTGGGGATGAAACAGCGGTCGGTCGTGGCCTCAGTCATGTTGGCGGAGCAGCGGCGCGTCGTGGACTTCGTCGCGATCTTGGCCATGGTGGAGAAAACCTGCTTCCAGTAGACTGGTTGGCATTGGTGTCTGCCCGTGGTAAACGCGCCCACTGGGCGTGCCTGGCTTTTGGGCGGCAGCTCAGAGATGCTGAAATCGCCGATCAAGACCAGGTTGCGCGTGTCGGGGTTGGCGTCGAGGCGGGCTTTGGCAGCTGACCGCGCTGCGGTGAAGTGCTGGCGGCCGGTCGCGGTCAACTCGTGGTTGTGTGCATTGAATATGGTGGTCTCGTGCTTGCGTTCGGTGTCGAGGATGCGGAGCTCGGCGATGCGGCCCTTCACGATCGGGATGCAGTTGCGCGGAGGTCGTTGGCCCGCAGGCAAGCCGAGCTCACCCTTGTCATGGGGGGCTGCCACCAGCATTATCGTCGATGTCGTTACAGGCCGATTGTAAAGGTATGTAAGGATGGTGAGAGAAGTCGGCGGGGTTCAGGAGGTCAGCACAGTTGCCGTGTGCTTCTTGTAGAGCGATGACCGCGCGCTGCCTCAAGTCGGGCAGCAAGGTGTTGCGCTTGATGGTGCGGCGGGATGAGGAACGGCCGAGAAGGGCTTGCATGTTCCAGGAAATGACGTTCATGCCGTCGGATTGCTGTTTGACGAACCATGGTGACCACATCCTGATAGAAAAGTAACTGCACGGAAGCCATGGGGTCTGCGAAGGCGGCGGCATGCTCCTTGTCGCATTCGTCATGCTCGGGCGCGGGAATACCAGCAGGGCCAGCAGCGCCAGACCAGCGACTCCTGGTGGGAGCCTCTGGCGTCGCGCCTGCGATGATCTGGGCGATGGGAGCAGTGTTGACCGAGAGGTATCCGCTGGTGCGGTGAATCCTGGGCGCGGTGTCGGGGTGCTTGGCGGCGATGAGCTTGCTGCGCTTTTTCAGCTGGACTTCCTGTCGAGACATACGGACTTCCTGTCGAGACATGCGAGGGGACTTGTCGGCCGAAACATACAAAGGTGCGGGACCATCAACTGCGGCCACGGTACATGTCCTCCAATCGGGTCCGAAACGTAGGGCTTGATAAAGAGCAGCAGCAGCAACAGGAACAGCCAAGATATCTCTTCCAGTGAGAGTTAAAGACGTGCTTTTCCCAGGTCCATGCGAGTTGAGACGGATAGCGTTGATGCCCACTTTTGCGGCGGTGAACCTGTCAATGAGCGTGCACCAGCAGCCCAGGGATCGACGTGCCCGCCTTTTCCTTCTCCTTTGAGTCCGAGCGCTGCAAGATCGTTGGGGGCTTCACCACCCGTCGAACACATGTCCACTTCGGCCGCTGATGAGAGGAGGCTTGCGCCAGCCTCGAGAGAACGCGCGCGATATGGGGGTTGACCGCAGGCGAATGCGGCAGCAAGGGACATGAAACTCGACGCCGCGGGCGCAGTGAAGGCGTCACAGCGGGGTCCTCGCTGGCCCTGGCCCAAGGGTCTCCGTGCTCAGCCACGGGGCAAAACGTCTTGAACCAAAATGGCAACGGAGGAGGAGGAAGAGGGGTGGGAACGATAAGAAAGGAGGGTGTGAAGGCAGAGGAGGCCCGAGGAAGGAAAGCGAGGAAGACTGGCAAGTGGGAAACGGATCCTGGATCCAAAAGCTTTCCCCAAGACGAATGTCTCATCCTCGGCATTTTCCAACAATGCTGGGCCCCCGGAGGCTCCCGACAACCCCAGAACGGCGAAACACCGCAGGACCCGTTTTCCGCATGGTGAGAGGAGGAGGATGCGGAGGATGAAGAGGAAGAGGAGGAGGAGGAGGAGGAGGCGGAGGAGGGGGAGGAGGCGGAGGAGGAGGAGGAGGATCAGGTAGAGGGGGGGAAGAGGAGGGGAGGAGGAGGAGGAGGAGGGATCAGGCAGGGGGGGGGGAAGAGGAGGAGGAGGAGGAGCAGGCGGAGGAGGAGGAAGAGGAGGAAAAAGAGGAGGAGGAGGAGGACGACGAGGAGGAAGAGGGGAAGGAGGAACGATAATAACTGAGGAAATGAAGGCAAAAGAAACCTGAGGAGAACGAGCGAAGAAAACTGTCAGGAGGGAAACGGGTCTTGAACCCCGGGGCCTTCCCCCTGGACGAGTGTCTCGTCTTGGGCAAGTTCTGACACTGCTGAGGCCCAAGGGGGCTTCCGAGAGTCCCAGAACGGCGAAACACCGCAGGACCCCTTTTCTTCATGGGGAGAGGAGGAGGAGGAAGAGGAGGAGGAAGATGAGGAGGATGAGGAGGAAGAGGAAGAGGATGAGGATGAGGAGGAGGAGGAGGAAGAGGAGGAAGAGGAGGAAGAGGAGGAAGAGGAGGACGGCGGCCGCGGCGGCTCGCGGAAGCGGGCCTGGTGCGCCTGCCAGAAGCACGTCTCCTCTAGCCGGAGCTCGCACAAGTGCGGGACGGTGTGGCCGCCGGGCTGGCGTGGGCGAGGGCGTGGGCGCGCAGCGTGTCGGGGGCAACACTTCCGTACCCGTTTGCATGCACACCGTCCGTACCGTCAACCCGCATACAGTGTTGGTGCTACCAGAAGGGACGCTGAATGAGGAGTGGCTGACATTTTCTGGTCACGGCGAGCCTCGGCAACGAAGAGGCTCCCCGACTTAGATCTAAGGAACGGTCAGAAAACCAAAGCCCTCCTAAGCCCAAGGCGGTCCGTTTCTCAACGTCTTGACTGGGCGCTTCTGCATGCACGCCGCCCGTACCGTCAACGCGAATACTGAGGATGCCTGGTGAGGGTGCGCGCTCCTTGGGCGCCCAGACTGAAATTTTTGGGAGGGCGCACTGCCAACAACCTGATGAGCTGGTCAGCGAAACGGGCCAACGATGGGCCGAATACGCACGGATGCAAGGCCATCCTTGGGAAAGATACTCGTCCTTACCATGGCACATTGACTGCAATCAATTTGACTCGGAAGAGTCCGAAAGGGACGAACCTTCAGACTGATGCTGGACAGAACTGCATCGACGTGCTTTCATCGTGCAGCTCGGCTGTCTTAGCTTGATGCAGGGAGATGGTCTGGCACGCCCGAATTGGGGACGGACACACATGGGGACGACGCACAACTGCCAGATGTTGTCCAAACCGACGGCGGCCGCTGTTGGGCAGGCGACTGTTGCCCCAAATGGGTAACGTCCGCGGCGACATCGGCAGCGAGCCCTGTCCAAAATGGGCAAGGAAAACTGTCGATCTTCTTCTCCGTTCTTCCCGTGCCCCTTGAGGTTCTTCAGAGAGGTCACCCGCCCCGACCAAAGCCTGGTTTGTGATGCGCTCAGGCGGCGTTCTTGCTCCGGCACGGTCTCGAGGCCCTCCTGGGCCGCCTGGGGCCCATCTCAAGCCTTTCTTGGCCCATCGCATGAGCTTTCGTGAAAGGGCGTGAATGCTTCTAGGTATGCTTCTGACCAGTCAAGGATTGGCGGCGAGCGAGGGAGGGGGGAAGTGAGAAGGAGAAGGCCTTCTCAGAAGGCTCGGAAGCCCCCTGCCTTCTGAGAAGTCTTCTGACCCATCCCCGAGGACACAGAACACTGCCTGGCGGGTCGCCCCCCTGGCGGGCCGCCCCCTCGCGCCACCCCCTCGTGCGCGCCGCCGACCTGCTCAGCGCCTCCTGGCCCAGCTTGGGCAGTCACAGCCTCGCCCCGCTGGCTGTATCTTACACAGTCGGCCTGCATCATGAGGACGCGGCGAGAAAGCTGCAAGGGCCTTGGACGCCCACTTCGGAGCTGTCCGAGCGGGGCGCGGCCAGCAAAAGTGGCTAAGGATGGGCCGCGGAGGCAAGGATGCAAGGGCACCCCTGGGAAAGTTGCCCATCCTTACTATGCGGGTTGACTGTAGGCCTTCTGCGAAGCCGTCTTCGGCCCTGCGTCTGCATGCCGTCGTGGCGGGGCCGCCTTCGCCCCTTCCGGCGAGAACTGGAATGCGCCAGGCGGTGAACGCGAGGAATCTGGAACAGACGGGTGCGTGTGCGCTCCCACACCACGAACGTGGCCCCCGAGTCTGACGCCATCGGTGACCCCACGAGGTCCTGGACGCGCAACTGGGGGCCCTCAGAACAACATGCAGTCAGCCCCAAAGATCACAAGCTGGCCGTGGGCAGGAACAAGCGAACGACGCGGCGCAAGCACAAACCACGGGCACGTGACAGCTGCAAGGACGATTGCTCTTTCGCCTGAGATGCTCCCGCACGTCTGCCTCTGGCACGGTCCTGCGCGAAAGCACAGCGGCGCGAGCTCAAACAAAACTCCTGGCGTCGTGTTTGTTCCACGCCATGGCCCTCCGGGACCGGCTCTTCATCCCGAGTCGTGCCTTGACGGCCTGAGGGTCCAGGTAAGTGCCCCTGCACACACTCCGCCGCGATCTCCTCACGACCTCTAGGCGGCGGGCGCGCGTAAGGGTGGCTGGCAAATGGTAAGAGTGACCTCTGGTGCGCGACTTTCGGGGGCAGCAGGGGTGCCGAACCCAAGCGCGCACCCCGCTTCGAGCCACTACCGGGGTGATCCCTGCAGTCTGTACGATCGACAGGGTGCGCGAAAACGAATGGGTACAAAGACCCACTGCATTTCCTGTTCATTCTGCACCACGCCCGCTGTCGGTGTCGCCGCGGACGTTGTCCGTTTGAGACAGAAGGCCGCGTGCCCAACAGCGACCACTGTCGGTCTTGGGCAATTTTCGTTGTTGGGCATCGTGCCCTTCTTTTTCTGTGTATGGGGTTGAAGTACAAGGGTACAGAACCCCTGGTCCGTTGGTAGAGAGATGGAGGGATAGATGGATATCTTTCCCTCCCACGCGATCAAGGTACGAACGCTCCAACTCAGTACCTGAGCCCAAACGGCCAGGTGCGGGAGAGGTAAGGATAAGGAGTATATATGAGGGTATTACACGGGTTCCTTCCACACCCCCCGTCCCGAATCCCGCCCGTGAAGGCAGGACTCGGGAACAGAGGATAGGAATCCGTAACCTCTGAACTCCTTTAGTCCTTAAGTCAGAAAGACAGCTGAGGCTTAAAAACAGCGAAGCCACAGCTGCAAAGTGAGGTAAGAAGAGATACCCAAAGTCCCCCTTTCATCCCCAGGCGCACTTTGGCGCCCCCTCGGTGCGCCCCCCAAAACGCTTCGGCACTCGAGGGAGGGGAAGAATGAGACAAGGGTAGGCGGAGAAAGTAGATCTGAGCATTAAGGCAACATGCAATCTGCCTCGCAAGATTTGCGAGGCAGGTGTTGCCACCAGCAAGCATATTATTCTCGACGCAATATTGTTCAAATTGGTAAAATATGCATGCTAATATCGTGTTGACGAACACGATTCTGGAAAGAAACGCAAATCTGTGTAAAGCAAGTGTCTGGCCATACAAAATGTCGTGTTGATGAGCACGAAAAGAGATGTATAAAAATCTGTTTGGCGACTCCCGTTGGCGTTGCTCCTTAGGAGGCTGCCTCGGTGATCGCAAAAGGCATATATGCATATATATATATATATGTGTGTACGGCCACTTGTTGGAATGATTGAAGTGGCCTAAAAGAATATATTAGCCACCGCTCAAGGCAAACTTTGATGAAATAAAGTTCTGCTCTTGAGCAGTGGGCCTTGCGGCCGACTCACTACGCGTCGCCGTCCTTGTAGAACCTGCGGTCCCACACCCTCTGGCCGTTGTACGTCACGTAGCTTGTCGTAAACGTTTCCCAAGTTGTCCTCGGGATCCAGTTGCGGAACCAATCGTTGTACGTGATATCCTGGATGTACACATACTCGTCGTTGTTGATCGCAATGTAGATCCAACATTTGATGTAGTAACTCCAGTATCGAAGACCCAATCGCTGTCCTCGAGATTGTGCCGCCAGTAAGCAGCGTAATCAGATGTACGTGCTCTCTTGGCGCGCGGCATCGCGGGCATGTAGTCCTCCGCGCCTGAGGCGCTGGATGCAGCAGCGTCGCCAGGAGCAGGGCGCGGCGGCGGGCGCGGCGGCGG